TTTCACAAGCTCTTTTCTTCTTCTTCTTCTTCTTCTTCGTGTCATGATGGTGGCGATCATGGCTCTCCACAATTTCCTGTCCTTTTTAGCCCTTAGTAAATTTTGTCTTATTTGCTATCCCTCCTAATTCCTGTTCTGCCAACCATTTACACAAGCTCTTTCTTCTCTGTGTCATTTCCCCTCAGAACAGTGGCGATCATGGCTCTCCACAACTTCTTGTCCTTCGTAGCTCTTAGTAAAGTTTGTCTTTTTGCTATCCCTCCTAATTCCTGTTCTGCCATCCATTTACTCAAGCTCTTTCTTCTTCTTCTTCTTCTCTGTGTCATTTCCCTTCAGGACAGTGGCGATCATGGCTCTCCACAACTTCCTGTCCTTCGTAGCTCTTAGTAAAGTTTGTCTTTTTGCTATTTCTCCTAAACCCTGTTCTGCCATCCATTTACTCAAGCTCTTTCTTCTTCTTCTTCTTCTTCTTCTTCTTCTTCTTCTTCTCTGTGTCATCTCCCTTCAGGACAGTGGATATCATGGCTCTTCACAATTTCCTGTCATTTTTATTCCTTAGTAAAGATTTTACTATCTCACCTAATCCTTGTTCTGTCAATCATTTACACAAGCTCGTTACGTAGTATATGAGCTGTTTTCCTCTGTCTCTTATGCCTTCAATATAACCTTTTTTTACTAGTATTCGCCCAATGAAAAAAGCCCAAGAGCCACTCAAGTTAAAGCTTACTGTGTGGAATTATATTAGCGTAAGAAAGGACAAGCTTTAGCTGAAGCAGATTTTTGAAGAAACCGGAAACCCAATACTAAACCGGAAATATACGATAAAGCCTTTACTCTTTTCAAAAGATCTAGGAGCACATGTGTGAAGGCGAACCTATCTACCCCTGAAGATGGGGAAAGAAAAAAATAAAATTAAATATTTAGGGAATAAAATGTCAGAATCTAGGTACAAACGTTAGTACAGAGTTGAAACCGACATTGTCCTGTGAGTGTTAAATTTTCTAAGCCGTCTTTCCTTATTATGTGCCTTAGAAATTTCAACTGTCTCCTTCCGAGGCTCAGTATATGTTCTTTTTGTTTCCATTTTCTCTAAAGCTCCGTCGTTGCTAACGAGATCAGTTCATGGCATTCTCATTATCAGAACGGCATTTCTATTGGATCTAGCTAAACATGGACGCCTCTAGTTTTTACTTCATCTGTGAAGTGATTGTCCATCCCACAAAAAGTTTAATAATTTAAAGTTATCGAAGCCTATTACGAAAATGGATGTTCAAACAGAAATGCATTTCGGCCACTTCACGATATAATCGACCGACCGAGAATGCAATTGGAAACGATGTCACGTTGTTGTGGAGAGGTTCCATTCCTGTGCGCGATGACGAATAGAGGGGTCTGGATTTTCGGCCACATTCTCATGCACTGCAGGAATGTTTTCAGCTGAACGGCGTTAAACGACTTGTTGATTTTCTGTTTAAGATCTTATCCCAACTATGAATACTTATGTCATCAGTATAGCTTCCCTCATCATCAGTACATTGAGCTTGGGATGGAAAACAATAAAGATAAATTCTTTCACAGCATGTAAAACCTTTATCAAATTATTAACTTGCAAATTTTCAGCTTTTAAAGATGTATAATTATTAACTTATTGGAAAAAACAATGTATGAAATCCCCACTCTGCCTCATCGTCTGAGTAGCAGTCCAAGCCCGTGTGATAGTCTGATTACTAGTCTGAGGTAACTGTCCGAGTCAGTAAGAAATCTCCCTGCCTATAGTCGATATCCTGTTTTATGGCAAGAAAATGGACTAACAAAATTCAAACGATTTTTTAAAACACCTTAACAATTTCCTGGATACAATTTATCTGCTTTCTTTTCCTTTTTCTTTTTGGACGAATTGAATAATATTTTTACAAGGCCAAATTTTCAGCCCCTTCAACTGCCACAGATTTTTGCGCCAAAAATGATCCTTTCACACGAAATCCGGCGTACACCAGGGCTCTATCCTAGGCCCTACGCTGTTTCTAATCTTCATCAAGGAGCTTCCTGATGTCATCAGTTCCCAAGTATGCATTTATGACACTGCCGTTTACACCTGTCGCAATGGCAAAACCGTCAGAGCTGACCAGGTAAACCTGGTTGCTGCTCTTGAAAAGGACCACCAGTCAGTGGTTAATAGGGACAGGACGTGGCTTGTAAATACTTCCAAAACAAAACTTCTCTCAAGCACCATAGAAAAACTTTTCTGATTGCCATCAGCATAGCTGGCGTTAGATTACCGGAGAACAACACACTGCGCCTTCTTGGTCATACGTTTTCAACTGACTTTAAGTGGAGCGACTACATCGAATCGATAGCTGCATCTACTGCAAGGAAATTTGGATCACTGTGTCGTGCCAAAAGAAAATTTCTCGTCACAGTACATCTTGCACATTTACAAATCTCCCATTCGTCCGTGCATTGAATACTGCTGCCATATCTGGTCTGGTGCTCCCGCTATTCATCTCGAGGATCTATAATGGAATCGATCCTGACTTGGATCTCGACTTCAGTCACTTTCGCGAAGACGTGGCTTCTCTCTGTCTTTTCTACAATTATTTCCATGGAAACTTCTCAGGCGAACTTTATTCCCTGGTGCCCCGACTAGATAAATTTTAACGTGCAGCTCAATTGGCTTCTAGGTCACACCCGTTTACTGCTGAAATAGTTAAATATAATAGCCACTTCTATTACATCAGTTTCTTTTCTCGCAGTTCCCACCTGTGGAAATCACTTCCGCTTACTTGCTTCTCTGATAAATACAATTTTCAAAAATTTAAATGCAACGTCAATCGCCATCTTCTGTCTTCTTGAATTACGTTCATCTTTTGTCCTTTCCTCAATCCTCCCCAGAATCAGATTTTTTTCTTTCACTTTCATTCTCTGTAACCCACTTCGTGCTAGTGGCATTCCCGCCTTTCCTGGGGTTAAATGATAAAAAAAAATTCTTCATAAAAATAATTATTCCCTTGTTCAGTCATCAAAGTATTTCACTGGATTTATATAACCTTACGTCAAGCATAAATTAAATTATATATTCCATCACAAAAGCCCGATTTTGGTATTGAATTGAAGAATCTTTGAGAAGTTTTTGGAAATCTTGAATTTACAGGAACCGCTGAGCAGACGTAGAGTCATTGAATTGTAATCATGTTTGTTTGGATTTCATTTAACACCAAACTCCTGCTGATTAGTTATACGTCTAAGAACAATTGAAAGCTAACTTTACAATTTAAATGTTGTTGAACTTTGCTTGAGAATTAAGCATTACTCTGTTACAATGGTTTATTTCCGAAATGAACCAATATTTTCTGATTTTTAAGAAATATTTCATTGGGCGATACTTAAGACAAAATCTTTTGTAAAATGTGTAAATCCGAGAAAAGCGACAAAAGAAATTCCAGATCAGATTTCTTTATTTATTTATTTATTTTCAACTGTTTATAATATAAATTCTGTAAATAGGGACTCACTTGGCGTCGATTTTAACGGCTGCCTTTGGCGACGTTTAAGTCTGTTGGCTTTAAAACCTGTGTATTTCTTCCTCTGTTCAAACAGTGGCACAGTTTTTAAAAAAATAATCAAATGAAGGATGAAAGTAAACAAACTTCCAACGTATAAATGTTCCTTCAAAAATTCGTTCTTATTTTGCCCCAGTACGATATCAATAAACATACACATTTTAAAATGGGTTTGTAAAAATAAATAGAGTAATTGAAAATGAAATCAAACACATTTGTTCATTTTTTTAAAATTTTTTTTTTGCTTGAAAACAAACATATTGTTTGTTTCAGCATTTATCGGTTGGCCTTGTGTTGTGTTGATTGAGTTTCAATGTTTTAATGAGATATTTTCTCAGGTTTCTGCATCCTATTAAAAAAAAAAATTCAAATTTACAAAAAAACATTTCTTATATAAATTCTTTTTCCCGGGTTTATAATTACTCGTTTTCAGTTGTAAAAATTTCAACAAAAAAACATTTCATTATTATAAATTCGTCTTTTCCCAAGGGTTTATAATTACTCGATTTTTCAGTTGTGCAACCCGAGCCAGGAAAAAATCAGGTTATCAACAATCGTTCTGCCATGCTTTTTAGAGTGTTGAAATGATTTTAAAAAAAAAAAGGAGAGTTACATAATCTTCATTGTCATTGGAACAATTACACAGAAATGCTAGGGATTGGGTTTACTTGACCCTCGTCTCTGATGTACAGACTACTAGAATCGGATAGCAGTAGTTCTGCAAATGGACAATATTTCTTTACTCCAAATAAAGAATGAACATTCCGCTAACAGGCAGTCAAAGTTCGAATCTCACATAATGAAACAATGAAGCCATCATACCTTCCTTTCTGTCTAAAATTTAACTCCTCTTCCTCCTTTAAACTCCTCCTCTCTTTTTATCTCCTGTCATTACACTTCTTATCCCTTCTGTGTATCCTGTAATCCGTTGTCTTCTTTTTTTCGTTCATCCCTTTTTTTAAATCCCTTATGTTCCTTAAGTTTTCTATGGGGTTGAGGTCAGGAGATTGGGGCGGCCATGTCATAACACTCACCTGCTTCTCATCAAAGTATTCTTCATCAATTTTGATTTGTGACAGGGAGCATTATCCTGCATAAAAATAGGCTTGGTGGGGTCGATTTGCACCCTTTCAGCAGAAGGGCAGACACTCTTGTACTGCTCGCTCCATCTTTTTCAATAGGTTTTATATATATATATATGAACGGATGTGTGTGTGTCTTCTTCGGATTTTGTGCTTATCCTTTGAATTTAGCTCAACTTTCGTTTCATCGGAGAAAATATGTACTTTTTTCGGAATCACTGTACAACAGGAATATGTCAACAAATACTAATAAAAATCCGTAAGAAAAACTGATTTGAATGGCTGAGGCTACAACTTTAAAATCACCTTTTGAAGAAAAAAAGAAAAATGGACAAAAAAAAAAAAGAGAAAAAGTAAGAAAAGAAAGAGAAAAACGACAAATACAAAATTTTCAAATTTCGTATTTGTTTCTTTTTTAAATCATCTTTTTTTTTATCTATCTATCTATCTATCTATCTCTCTCTCTTTCTATCTATCTATCTCTTTCTCGTTTTTCTTTTTGCTTCCATTCTTTTTTCTTTATTTTGCTTTCTACTTCGCTTGATTTTCTCTTTTTCTATTTCTTTTCTTTCTTTTCAGCTTTTCTCACATTCATTTTTTTTCCGTTGCATCTTGAATTTTTTTTTTTTTTTTTTAAAATTTCTTTCTTTTTTTCCTTTTTTTTTCTTTCTCTTCCTTTCTTTTTTTCTCTTGTTCTCTTTCCTTTCTTTCATTCTCCCTTTTCTTCTTTCTTTTCTTTTTTTCTTAAATTTCTTTTACTTTCTTTTTTTTTTCTTTTCTTTATTTGCGTCTTTTTTATTATTTCATTCTTTTCTCTTCTTCTTTTCTTTCTTTTTTTTGAGCCTTTTTTCTTTCTTTTTTTCTTTTTTCTTCCTTTTTTTTTTCTTCTTGTCATGTTTCTTTTACTTTCTTTTTTTTGGTGTGATTCATTCTTTATCTATCATTTTTATTATTTCTTTTCTTCTTCTTCTTTTGTTTTTTTCTTTTTCTTTTCTTAATTGGTTTTATTTTTCTATTTCTTTCTTTCATTTTATTTCTTTCATTTCGTTCTTTGGTTTTTTCTTTTCGTTCTTTCTTTCTTTCTTTCTTTCTTTCTTTTCTTTCTTTCTTTCTTTCTTTCTTTTTCTTTCTTTTCTGTTTTTCTTTCTTTTTTCTTTCTTTCGTTCTTTCTTTCTTTCTTTCTTTCTTTTTCTTTCTTTTTTCTTTCTTTCTTTCTTTCTTTCTTTCTTTCTTTTTGTTCTTTCTTTCTTTCTTTCTTTCTTTCGTTCTTTTTCTTTCTTTCTTTCTTTCGTTCTTTTCTTTCTTTCTTTCTTTTTTTTTTCTTTCGTTCTTTCTTTCTTTCGTTCTTTCTTTCTTCTTTTCTTTCTTTTCTTTCTTTCTTTCGTTCTTTCTTTCGTTCTTTCTTTTTCTTTCTTTCTTTCTTTTTTTTTCGTTCTTTTCTTTCTTTCTTTCGTTCTTTCTTTCTTTCTTTCTTTCGTTTCTTTCTTTCTTTCTTTCGTTTCTTTCTTTCTTTCTTTCTTTCTTTCTTTCATTTCCAGCAAAAAAAAATATATATATACACACACACATATATATATATATATATGTGTGTGTGTGTGTGTGTGTGTATATATATATATTCAGATATGTATTAAACACACATTCTCTCATAAATCATTTTATCTATCTATCTATATCTATCTATCACACACACACACATTCACACACACACACACACACACACACACACACACACACACACACACACATATATATATATATATATATATATATATATATATATATATATATGAATTTAGATACATGAATAAGTCTGTAACCCTGTGATGACAACTGCATTTGTTTACACAAGAAATTATTTTAACTATATTTTTTCTAGATTAATCACATAGAATAAATAATATACAGTGAAATATTCAGATTAAAATTTGGCTTATAGTTATGGCACCAGATTCTGGGCATATTGATCTATCGTTTTATTCTGTTTTCATTTTTTTATTTTGTGTGTGCATATATATGTGTGTCTGTGTGTGTGTGTGAGAGTGTGTGTGCATCCCTGTATGCATGCTTTTGAGTGTGTCTCTGTGTGTTAGTTCATTCGTGTGTGTGTGTGTGTGTGTGTGTGTGTGTGTGTGTTTGTATTTTTGTATGTGCTACTTTGCTTTTTCTCTACTAATCATATCTTTTCCTGAGATATTCCCACTCACTGTGCTTTTATTTTTTTTAATTCCCTTTTTTTCTTGGGATAAAGTCGTCGACAGACTTGTCTCTGCTGACGCTATTTTCGATGGGGAAACCGAAAATAACTCAATTTCCCACGGAATTATTTCATTTAATGCAGTCCCTCTGATTTCTTCCACAGCACCATGACTGCTGTTGGAGACATTGCAATTTAAAACAGTTGAGCTCGTCGCCGCTTCCGAAGACAACGTTTCTCTTACACATAGAATTATTTGCTTAGTTTTATTTTTGTTATTTTTTTCAACGACTCTATTTTCACATTATTTTTCCAATGGCTAATGCATTTACCATTATCACTTAACTGTGTTTACGTTGCCACATCACGTTCAAAACACCGGTTCCCTTGCAACCATAGAAGTTAAGCAACGTCGAGCCTAGTCAATACCTAGAGGGTGACTGCTTGTGAATTCCAAGTGCTGTAATCTTCAATGTGCAGGGTGTGGGGTTAATAGTTAATGGCTCAGAATTATTCATCGGAGAACCCATTTCCAATTCCTGTTGTGTTCGTTACGCGTAAATACAGTTAGAAAAAGTATAGATCCACGTCTTCCCCAATCCAGCTATGCATTAATTAGTAAGACTTGTATCACTAAACCACTATTATCTCCCCACAAAATCCTTACAATCTAAAAATATTTTCTGGATTTAAATAAACTGCAAAGTGTTGATAAGCCGTAGAAAACGAATCAGTTAATGGGTTTACGATGCCATTTTGAATGTTAACTTTCTGCTATTTTTCTCTTTTGTTTATTAGTATTATCATTGTAATTATATTCGCTAATTAGTCATGCATTAGTATGAGTATTATGCATACATTTGCGCCTTGCAATCATTGCTGGGCATCGGTGACAGCACTCTCATACCGTTGTTTGGGCAGATTGAAATATATGGCATTTCTCCTTATTTTATGTTGTTAAGATTGATGTACTGCACTTGATTTTACCGAAGTTGATCGTACCGAACTGTACCGAATTGCACCGAACTGTACCGAATTGATTGTACCGAATTGCTCCGATTTGCACCGAACTGTTCCGAATCGATTATACCGAAGTGCACCGATTTGCACCGATTTGCACCGAACTGTAACGAATTGATTGTACCGAATTGCCCCGATTTGCACCGAACTGTACCGAATTGCCCCGATTTGCACCGAACTATACCGAATTGATTGTACCGAATTGCACCGATTTGCACCGAACTGTACCGAATTGCACCGATTTATCCGAACTGTACCGAATTGATTGTACCGAATTGCTCCGATTTGCACCGAACTGTACCGAATTGCCCCGATTTGCACCGAACTGTACCGAATTACCCCGATTTGCACCGAACTGTACCGAATTGATTGTTCCGAGCTGATTCAGTACTATCTTAATAACATAAATTACACGGATAACATTTTGTGGATGGTAGAGATTAGAAAAAGAAAAGAAAACTGCCGAATCTCTTAGACAAAATAGTAAAGGAGAGCTAGACAAAAGGACTAACCATCAATTACAAAAAGACAGTTTTCATATATATTAATTTATATAAATTAATAAAAATACATAATCCCCCACACCAAAAGTACAACTCGGAGTTTCATGCATATTATCTAAACTATAAAAACGATCAGTACCTGAAGATTGCATTAGGCATGAAACTCAGAGTCGTACTGTCGGCGTGAGTATTACGCATTTTTATTAATATATACTTAATAGCTCTGCTATTTAGCATTCAGCACCGTTTTTCTTACACCAAAGGATATATGCATGGATTTGTGTGCGAACACTTACACGTATGTTTACATATATCTATTCATTTGATCACACACACACACACACACACACACACACACACACATTCACGTGTGTCGTCCATATTAAATATAATCACGTGCGTGTGTGTTACTGTTTTTCGAAACATTAAGTATATGTGCGTATATCTATGTTTTTATTATACCATATCTATATATTTCATATATATATATATTTTATATATATATATATATATATATTTACATCTTACGTCCAAATAGACCGGCCTGCGCATTCAAGATAGGTAATAATGAGAAAGTTCTCCCCGGTAGGGTAGGAAACTGCATCGCCCTTTTTAGGAGAATCCACCGTCTGATCTGGCGTGCTTTAGGTTGCCTTGCCACAGAGAGCGCCGCAGCCCTGCAAATTGTTTGACTCTCAGGCGAAGTCCTGATATTTTTCGTTCCCATCCAGTTTTTCTTTTATCTTTATCTCATTGTATAGTGCCCTGTGATCAAGCAGATATGGCTGGTTTCCGAATAGCAGAAGCAATTTTCTTATATTGTCGGTCACTATGTCAATGTCAAAACATCTCATTCTTTGTATTTTCTCGGTCAGCCTATTCGTTATACTGATATTAATTTTTATATAGTTGAACTATTTTGCAAGGTTCTTAGTGTTTCACCCTTCCTACTCTCTCATGTTTGCCTATATATTTCATTTGAATCAGCTTATTATATTCACCTTTGATGTAGTTTTCACTTTGGTTTCTTTGGTTTCAAAGGCAGCGTTTGTATTTTTCGGTGTGTGTTTTTTTCCGTCTTTGCTTTGATAATGGTAGAATTCATTTGTTCTGAGAATATGCTTCTCTTCTTGGAGAATTTGTCTGTAATATCTGTCTTAAATTATTCGTTTTCTTTTTTCTCCTATTGTTATTTTTTGCTGTGTTCCTCACTATTCCTTCTTTTGCTTGACCATTTTTTTCTTTTACTTTCATTTCTTCTCTTTTTTGTGATGATTGGTACTAATGGCGTCCTTTTATTACTCGTAGTCTTAGGTTTATTAAATTCTTAAATATAATTTCCGAATGACAAGAACATCTGCCCAAAATCAAAGATTACGTACTTTGGCCTTATCAATATTTTCGTACGTCTGCGGATCTTGACTATTAACGGTAGAATTCCAGCAAAGAAGAATTCAAGCATTATAAATGAGCTGCTACAAATGACACAGTACGAGATACTATCAGACATGAAACTGGTCTATAGGAAGACCCTGTAACCGTTTTGTGAAAAAGAGAAAGATGGAATGGTATGTCTATGTTACAAGAGCCAAAATCTTTCGATTACCATCTCACAAGGTATCATCTTAAGCAAAACAAGGGGAACTCAAATGAAAAAAATGGGCTGACAGCGTTATTATGTGGACTGGAAGGTCGTTCCCAGAGATGCAGACATTGTCACCCGAAAGAGACATATGAAGGAAAGCTAGATAGCTACGCATCAGTTCTCTAACATACTAGATCATCTGTCGGTTGAGTGATGTTGTTGATTGATTGTTTTTGATTTGTATTTTTACGGTTTATCAACCTTTCGCGTAATATTTCTGGAAATGATAAAATTTTACTGATACAATTCCTAACAGCTGGAGTGAGAAGAGGTGGATGCATGATTTTCACAAGGTATGAATCAAACTCTTCGTGCGTAAGTGAATACAACGAACCCAACTGGACTTAGAACACGGCTGCCAATGTCCAATTCCCTGCCGTTCTTCATGATATCACCTGCACTTTCTAACATTCTCCCATGTTCAATGTTAGTTAACTTCACTGATATTTCAACGTGATATAGGCGTAAACCCAGGTTGTTGTTGATAAAGATGATGATGTATAATTAAAATCGCTTTCATTTTGTTATGGGATCTTACCCATAATAACATAATGGACTATTCCATACGTAATAAATACTGAGCCTCAAGAGGAAGCAGGGAATTCAGCCTGAAGTCGGACGACCGGTTGACCCACTGGTCGGTTGAACTCTCTGGGGAGGAACCTGAACGAGGCTACGCCAAAGGGCGGAGTCTCTTTCGGGGAGGTAAACCGACCCTGAACCCGTTTATATGGGTTCAAAGGGCATATTTTTGGCCGAGCCCACGGGCTCGGAGATCCCAAGTTAAACCGGCCTTGTGCCACATGATGCCCTCGTTGGGGTGACTAAATACCGTTCAGTCTGAAGTCCGTCAGGAGTCTGTCAGTCAGTCAGTCAGAGCGAGCGAGTCAGTCAGTCGAGTCAGAGGCAGTCCGAAACAGAGTCGCGTTCAGACAATTACTACTAAACCTGATTGTACGTACTAACACTTTCTACTTCTCTGTATATATTCCTGTTTGTAATGTATCTGTGTTATTTCATATCCGTATTCGAGTTCTTCTTTATTGGTTCTACCTTGGACTATCACCGTAGTACAAGGAACCGGGCCATAACACATTTTTAAATACACCTTTGTCCAAATTAACTGAAACAACCGCTTTAGTTTCCTTTCTTTCATCATACGGTCAGTTTTAGACCTACTGGAGTGACAGAGTGTAACCGATTTCTATTTTTTCCTCAGATTAGATCATTTGCAGTGGTGTGCAGTAATATAAAAATATTTTGGGGGTGTATGATGAAATTTGTTTGGCCTTGAAATATATTGTATCATCCATGATTGCATCTGATATTTATCATGCCCAGACACTGCACTATTGTTTGACTGTCGATTAGTTGTCCTACGGCCATTGATAGCGATGGATGTTACTCCAAGGAAGCGTACGAAAACTGTAACGTTGCATGAACACACTAGCAAGCCTTACCAGTGAGCAAATCGAAGTACTATAGACTGATCCGGAAATTCTCCTGATTTAATTCCAATCGAGAATCTGTGATCAATCTGCAAGGAGAGCCTTTATGAAATGGACATGAGAAGGGCTAACGCTAGGTCATGTTTTAATGGAAAAATAGGATAAAAATTAAATAATAACGGAATTATTTTTTTTGTTTCAATTAATTTGCGCAAGGTTGTAGTTCTCATTCACAGGACGAAACTTGATATCATTGCTATCTTTGATCTTTAATAATATTGTATTTTGTACCATTTCTTTGAGCTTTGTCTTTAGGAAACTTTCTAACAAGTATCATCATTTTTCTTGTTTATACTCCTCAGAATTTCACCGTCGATGCCGATTTATTTTGCTATTATTTTCAGCCTTTGATTTTTATGATCCACTAAGAAGATGAGCCACCAGGAAGATGACCCACCCTCAGGATTGTCCTCAAGGATGGAAAGGCCAAGCCGTTCAAGTACTACATCGCGAAGTGTAGGGAAACTTTTCCATGTCGTGATGAGGCTGTAAAAATAATCCATACATGTGTACATATGTATATATACATGTAACAGTATTTTAGGGACGCCCTCTCTCTCTCTCTCTCTCACACACACACACACACACACACACACACATATATATATATTAATAGTTGATAAAAAAGAAAAAGACAACACTCAATGATATTAACACGGCCACAATGTGCTCTATTCTAAAAATAAAACATCCTTACAACTCTAGAAACATACACTCAAACCATACACCCAATTAAAAAGCAAAAGTAAAATCATCCGAAATTATAGCCGAAGGCGCTCGGAATTACAGAA